GGCTGAGAGGTGGCTTTGCAGCGCGGTGAATGGAGGGACCGGGCTGCCGCTTCAAACGGGGAGAGGAGGGCCATGCTGGGAGAATTTGCTTAATTGCCTGAAAAATATACTTGTCCCATTGCTGTCGCTGGTAGAGCAGGGAGGAGGGGAGAGGGCGGGAGGCAGCTTTGCACTCGAGCTCAGGAGCTGCTCAGGGTTCAGGCTGGCAGCACTCAGGTTTCAGGCGGGCAGCAGCCGTTCGGGGAGCAGGGTTGCCACATCTGCCCCTCACCGGAGTCTTGCACCCCGAGGGAAGCCTGGCTGGAAGAGCTGGGGGCTGCCGGCTTGTGCATCGCAGCTTGGTCCCGAGCTGGAGCTGGGCTCTGTCTGCAGAGCTCTGAGCCTGCCTGCTGTCCTCCAGGTCCTCCAACTGTGGTAGCACTTGGGTGCATTTAACTCTCTCAGCACCACTCCCAGCCCGGAGCACTCAGTTTAGAGCCAAAAAGTATATGCCTGCTTGGCAGAACACCAAAAACAACCCGGTGTTTGGAGGTCCTTGTTTCTTAGGCTGCAGAAAGTGCTGCAGATTCACCTACCCCTCTGGACAGGGTGGGCTCCCGGAGGCAGGCAATTGCAAAAACCTGCCTGCCCAACAGCTTGTTCTGATGATAGAGATCTGGTTATCAGCAAGCTCTGTCTGTCTTCTCCAGAAGGGAACTGCCTATGTAAAGGTCTTTCTCTCTCGCTCCTTGCCTGTTTCCCAGGCCTCATGAATACCAGTGCTTGCTCAGCTGTTGAGAAGTTGTGTGGTTACATCCTCCCACTCTAGGGCAGGGATGCAAGGTGTGAGCTTTCGAGGTGTGCTTGCAGTAAGGCCTCTCTCCTTTCTGTGGCCTTTTGTAGGGACCAAGCTGTTGAGTTGTGACAGGCACCAGGTTCTGGAAGAGCAGAGCCCTCAGCTGGCTTCTCCCTTCTTTGGTCCAATGTTCGGTGGAGCCAGAGGTCTGGCAATGAATTATTTGTCTCCCACTCCTTCCAGACCCAGTGGCTGGGAGAGGCCAAGCCTGCAAGGTTTAAGACCGTACGTAACCCTTCAAACCTGGGCTCGGCTCCACAGGAAAACATTCTGGCCACCCAGCACTGTTCTGTGACCTGAAGTTGGTGGTCTGCATTGCTATGAGAGAACGTTGCTTTGGGACATCATGACAGGATATCATGCGGTTTCTAGGATGGGATTGTTAGTTTTGAAAAGTGCTGGCCCAGAGGGGCTGGCCCTATGGGAGTCACAGCAACCCACCCCTCAGTCACTGCTGGTCTGTCCTCTACTCCTGTGAGGTCCTAGCAGCTTCTGGGAGTCGCCTGAGAAGTGACCACGTAGAGGTGACTGAGTGCGAATTGCTGGAGTGTTGGTGAGAGCAATCAGGAGATGCTTTATTAAGCTGTGAAAGACAGATTGTCGAATGGGAAGGCTTTATCAGGTGTGGTCCTGAATCTAATTTTCCAGTAGAAAGGGGTAGCCTTGAATTTCACTTCTAGCATGGCAGGGGTGGGTGTGGTGTTAGAAGACCGTTTACCAGCCCAACTTGCTAATGGTGTTCTCTCTTGGCCTTGGCAGTAGCTTTGAGGGTGAGCGTTATCCTGGGCATGTGCTGCAGGTAGCAAAATGGCATTACCCAAATCAGCTAAGGAATATCCAGGAGGAGGAAGACAGCAAAGGTAGAGGAAAGCTTACTCCCAACAGGTTGCTTACCTTCTGCATTAGCATTCCCACATATCATTGTCCTGCTCAGTCTGGAGGGATTTGCAGTGTAACTACCTCATGGGGGCATAGAAAGTGTGACAGGGAGACTGACTTTTCTGGAGGAAGCTTTTATGACCCAACGTGAGCAGCTGGCAGAAGTCAAGTTGTATTCGTTCCTCTTCATCTTTCTGGAAAAGCAAGGCAGGGGCCTGAAAACCCCCTGTGACCCAAGGGTGGTTGACTGAGTGCACGTTGCTCTTGCACCTCACCGCAGAGGGTGGGAAGGTGGGGAGGGGAAGGTCCTGCTTGTTCAGTGAGCTGTGCCGCAAGTCAGGCTGCACTGTGCGGTTGTCGGAAGGTTTGTGTCCCTGCTTGGAGAAACATGCCTGACTGACTTTCCCATGAGAGCAGGCAAGTAACAGGCAGCCACGTCTGGAGCTCCTGCCCAAAGCCACGTAGGTGTACAGCAGGTGCTGCCCCTCCAGCCTGCCGGCACAACCCTCCAACACCAGGACTCTGCTAGTCCAGGCTGAGAGGCCGCAAAGTTCACCCTCCCGAGGAGCTTCCTCCCCTACCAAAAGCATTCAGAAGACCAAAAACTCCCCATGAACCCTGTGCTGGGGCAGGGGGACTCCTTCTAGGAGGTCTTTGGGTCCCAGAAGCTATGATACCTTCACTGCCCTTTGTAGTGTCACATCTTGTCACGTTGTGAACTAATGAAATCACTGCCCCATGTCACATCCTGTCCCGTCCTAAATTAATGAGCTCACTGCCCCATGTTGCATCCTGTTACTGTATGTCCAAACTTAATGCGGTCACTGCTTTGTGTTGCATTCTGTTGCGTCTGAAATTTCTGCAGTTTACTGCCCCGTGTCGTGTCCTTGGTTAGCAGAAGCTGTGAGCGCTTCCTGCAGCTTTTTTCCTCAGATAGTGCGACTCTGGCTGCTCCATTTCCCATGAGGTTCCTTCTGAAATACCACAGCTCATTGTGCCCTTTAGGACATCTGTTATGTTTCAGAGAAGGAGGGGCCAGGATTAACGTAGGACCCAGTGAGGGAGGGGAGAGCTCCACCAACAGAGGATGGAACTCAGCGAGGGTGCTGGTGGGAGCCATGTAGGTTGTGGAAGGAGGAATGAGTGGGAATGAACATTAGCAGTTTTTACTAATCCCAACACCCTGATGGATTGCTGCATGGGCGTTTCCAAGAGATTCTCACACTGTGTGCTCCTTCCCCCTCTGCTGGGTGGGCAGAGCTGCTGCCTTATTCAATGTGCTGGTAAAATACTTATTTGGCACTGCGGCTTTTAATTCCTGCACACTGGCATTTCCTGTTGCTTCCTGTGACTCCTGCCCTGGGAGCTGGAAGTGGAGAAAAGGCATGAGGCTTATGTGCACGCCCCTTCAGCTCTCATCCAGATAGGAGGTGGAGAGGGAGAGCAGAGCACAGAAAGGAAGGATGGTTCAAAGTAGTTTGGGGTTGCAAGCAGAAACTTGACTATGGACTCATCTAATTAAAAGACCTTAAAGCCTAGTGGTGGTAGTCAAGGATGGAGATAAAAATGTGCATGTGTAAGGTCTCCTCTTCTGAGGAGCCCCGTCCTAGTATAAAGGACTGGGATTGTACTCAGGACAACTTCCTGCACGATGTGTCTGCTTTTCAGGGTAGAGCAGCAACAGCCATGCTAACTTTAAACCAGCTGGCTTAGTACTGGAGACAAATCTAGCTCCAAAACTATAGAGCTAATTGAGTGCTTGAGGTGGTAGAGTTGGCTTAGCGTTTTAGCATCCCACTCCTGAGACCTAGGTTCTGTTCCTGTGACCTTGGCTGCACAGTTGCAAAGTCACCAAAGTGATCACCTACCTCTAGGAGACTCCCTTTTGGACTAGCCGGGGCCTTGGGATGAGCAATAACAGAGATTTGTGGTAGGTCAGGAGAGAAAGGTGCTAGGAGAAACACGGGGAGGTGCTTGTGTAGCACCAGCAGCACTGCAGCCAGCAGCACGTCCCTACAGGAGCATCAAATTGGCCCACTGCACCTTTTGCTTGCCCCTACACAAGGACCATGAAGGGTGGCTCAGGAGCTGCTCCCTTTCATGTGCTGCTCTTTGCCTTTCTCACTCTGTGTCTCTTCCTGTTCCATCTCTTCTCCTTGTTTTTCCAGAAAAGAAAGTCCAGTTCCAGCGTTCAGTTAATGGTGAGTGTCCTTCGTCTTCCTCAATGCTGATATTGCTGGGCTTCTCAACATGTTCCAGCCTTCCCCCATTTTTGGAAGTTACCTTGGGGTAGGGAAGAAGGGACACTGGGGTTGGAGGGACATTCTCAAAGCCGTATCACCCACAAACCCCATTAACAGGGTTGGTGCAGGCACTTGCTGGCCGCCAGCTGGTGGGAAGCCAGCCTTGGTTCTTGCTGATGGGTTCTCATGCCGTTTCTCCCAGTTCTCCTGACTCAGGTCTGCAGGCTGCATCGGTCCAAGGAGCCTTGGAGAAACACCTTCCATGCCTCTGCGGGGACTGTATGGTCATGGGACACCTTGCCAACCTACATCGGGGTATTATGGGTAATACATAAGCAAGGCTCTGCTGGGAAGAGCTAGCAGAGCCATTGCTCTAGCTCCGCTAGCAGAGTCGCCTTGATGGGGCTCCTGGAGAGAGACAGGGGGTCAGTACCCCCTCCCCAAAATCTGTGTAGTGCTCAGCTGTTTATTGAAAGAGCTGTGTCTCAGCCTTCGGTGGTCCATGTGGGTCTTGGAAGCACTCTGTTTTATTGTACATTTCTCTCCCTACTCTATGGTCAGTGTGGTCTCTCTCGCTCCTGCACTCCTGCTCCCTCACTTCTTCTTTCTCATCCCAGTTCCTCCTTGCTGTTAATTTGTACATTTCTCTTTATTGTACGGTCAACATGGTGTCTTCCACCCCCGCACAGCCCCTCTCCCTGCCCCTCTTGCTATGCTCGTAGGAACCTGCCAAACCACCCCCTGGACCTGCCCCGTGTCTGTCCCTGTGGGTGTTGGTAGGAAAGGCACCACTGTTCCTACAAGACCCTCCACAGCCCAGCTCTTGTGCCCTTGGCTACAAGGTGTGGAAGTCAGGGAGGGCTCTGCCATCACTACGTGAGAGCTGTGGTTGAGGACGGGTTTGACCTGCCGGTGTTTTCCTTGGTTTCTGTCCGTTTGCACAGTTGAGCACTGTGAGGTCGAACTCGGGGGGCTGTCAAACACACAAGCTCCTTCTTGCGTAGGGAGAAGACTGGTCTCACCTTTCCCGTTTCCTTTTTGTTCTTTGCCCAGGAATCGTCGGAGAGCACTAACACCACTATTGAAGATGAAGACACCAAAGGTACTGGCAGGGGCACCCAGGGAGGGAGGCAGGCTATTTCAGAGGGGAACACTTGTGCGTTAGTCCAGCCACCCCCAAAACAGATGCTGCCTACGCCAAAACCTACGGCAGGCAAGATCCCTCTGGGCCATTCAGAAGTTACTTTCGTTCGACATGAATGAAATGCTAGCGTGGACTGAGGCCAATGCAGGTGGTTGCACTGCTGATATGTCGACATGAGTAGTTGTGCTGTAGCACTGCTGGAGAGGAGGAGAGGGGCACTCGAAAAAATGGAAGAGTTCCCTGCAAGCAGTCATGAAAATGACTGGCTCAGAAAGGAGGCTATTCACACCCTACTGTCAAGCTGGCGCTGCTAATGCAGCATCTAGACTGCTTGGGAAGTTTGTGGTGGCCCTCATCATACCATGTAGGCTGAAGGTAGAGTCAGACTCCAGGAGCAGCTTCAGCCTGTTTGACTGAGGTGCCCGCGGGTTCGCTGTGGAGGAGGCACGTTGCTGGCTACCGCTTTGAACCCTCCTGGGATCAGCTGAGTCTTTGCATGGGCTGCAGTCTGTCTGCCCATGCTGCCCCATCCTCCTGCCCGCTTTGTCCACTTGCTGCCTTTTCCTGTGTTCATTCCCTCTCTCCTTCTTGCATGTCAGAGCCGGCTTTCTAAGAATAACTCAGGGAATAATTTATTGGTGCTAATTTGTAAAGTCTCTCGATGAAGTGAACTCAGCACAAAGCAAGATGGACTTTGGCCTGACATTAGAGTTAATTGAACATTTGTTCTCCCAGGGCATGGCTCCCATGAGAGAGGTCATGGAGGCAGGAGGTGCTCTGCCCTGCATCCAGAAAAGGACTGGGGCTCCATATTCTCTTATGAATGACTCTCTCGTGATGTGTGCTCTCTTCACCTCCTATTTTATTAGCCGTGGCAAAAAAAATTAACTCAGGCATTCCACTGATTTGCATTTGAAACAGAGCCTCGTTAATAAGCCCGGAGCTGTCTCTCATAGCTCCTCCTGACATCCCAGGGAGCTAAACCCACTCGTGCAGCATGGCCCCTGTCCAGCTCTGGTTGGGAAAGCAGTGGGAGGCACAGGGGACGAGCTGCATGGTGGTATGCCCTTTGCTGGCTTTCCCCTTGTATTTGCTTGGTGGGAAGGTTTGTGGAGACTGGGCTTCCTGGGTTGCTTGGCCAGTTGAGCCACCTTTTCTCCCCAGCTGAGACCATAATCTCCTGTCTTAGACAGAAATGAGAGCATCCTTTGAACCAGCCCTGCCCTAGTTTGGCCCTGCTGTGAGTTTGTAGCCCAATACGGAGCTGGGATAGAAAGTCCTGGCTTGGTGCAGATGTGAAGCTGAAACCAAGACGTGTCACTTCTTTGGGCCAAGGGCAGCTCACCAGTTGGTGATTAAGCCTCTTGCTCTTTAGGAAATGAGAAAAATACAGGGGTTTTTTGTTTGTTTTTTTTTGTTTTTTTTTTTTACTTTTTGCCTGACTTTGGAGTATTTCCTCACTTAGGGTCTTTTTTTTTTTCCCCCCACCTGGGGCCCTTTCCCATATCTGTCTCAAGTCCCTTTCCTGCTCTTCCCCCGGATGTCTTACAATTTCCCTTGATGTCCTGATGGTCTGTTTCTAGTGAGAAAACGATATCTCACAGATATTGCAATGTTAATTCTTTTGGTTTGTGTTCTACTTTTTTTTTTTTTAACTAACAGTACGGAAGCAAGAAATCATTAAAGTAACTGAGCAGCTGATTGAAGCAATAAGCAATGGCGACTTTGAGTCCTACACGTGAGTGTGCCTAATGTGGTTTTGAGCCAGTGTGGGGGCCAGCTGGTTGATAGCTCAGCCTACTGGAGCAGGTGCTAGAGGGAATCATGCTCTCCCTGTAAAAACACAGCCTGTTAGGTTTTACTGCTGCCAAGTGCAGAAAGAGCAGGTTGACGTGGAGGTGGGGCACAGAGAAGATCCAAGAGAGTCTGGGGAAATGTGTTTGCAAAGCTGATGTTTCTCTCACACTGACCGACCATGTCTCTCTAGTCTCATAACCATGGATGAGCCCACTTTCTGATTTGCAAAAAGATGAATAACTGTAGACATGATTTATGACAGAGGAAGGAGCATTACGTCCGCGGTATTCATTATATCCAGATTGCCTTAGGGTACTTGGAAAGATAACTGCTTTCCACGTGCTGAGCTGATGTTCCTTGGAGTATGCTCCTGTACCCAAGGCCTATTTAATTAGCTATTTGAGTGAGCACAGGTCTTGATTCCTGCCTTGGAGAACAGCAGCAGGGATATTTCAATACAGAGCAGAGTGAGTTAGATTTTTTTCCTGCTGTTTTTCTTTTATCTCTTGCAAAGAAGACAGTACCTTGGGAAGGTTTAATTGGACATGGTGACTGATGGAAAATTCACTCTGTCTCATTTGAGGAATCCAGCTGAGGTCCTTGGGCTAGAGGCTGTAGAGGCTTCCTGTAGAGCACAAGGACAGAGGTCCTCTGAGAGCATTTATAGCATCAGACTTCTGCTCTGAATTGCTTTCTGGAGAGGCCCATCTCGGCAGACTGCAGAGGGCCTAGCAAAGCAGCATGGACCTTTTCCCTGTGACATCTCAGTGCTCCAAGTCCCCTGCCCCAAATCCTGCAGCTTAGTTTAGCAAGCACAGCTGTTCAGGGAAATACTTCTGTGTCGAGGTGCCTTGATTTTGGACTGAGGGGAAGCCCTCTCAAGCCCAAGCAGTTTGGGTTTTGGAGAGCCTTATTCATGCATGCTCTCACGATGGAACCAGTGAAATGAACTCTCCTTTTTCTCTCCTCTTCCCTCCCCTTCTGGCCTCCCCAGGAAGATGTGCGACCCTGGAATGACTGCCTTTGAGCCTGAGGCTCTGGGGAACCTAGTGGAAGGCTTGGATTTCCATCGATTCTACTTTGAAAACCGTAAGCAGCCTCCTTCCCTCCCAAGGGACCGTTTTCACCTCCTATAGCCTGTTCTGTGTTTTGACATCCATCAGCTTGCTGGACAGAAGAGGGTAAGGGTGGTTTTGGGAGCGTTTCTGAATCTGAAAGATCCCAGAAGAAGGTGAATCAAGGCTGTTAGGTCAGCTGAGGATGGGTTGGATTGCAGAGAAACTGTTTGGTTAGCTGTTTTCTGTGTGAAGTGTTGTGCATCCTAAGCCCTGTCAATGCAGCATTTACCCGAACCCTCCAAGCAGAGAGCCTAACCTGAAGGAACTCCTCTTCCACATTGCTGCTGCCTTCTACAACCGGTAGAAGGAAAACAGAACTCCTTCCCTGTCTAAGGCCACCTATACTTGTTCCCTTGCCAGTGTGGTCCCGGAATAGCAAGCCTGTGCACACAACGATCCTGAACCCCCACATCCACCTGATGGGAGACGAGTCTGCCTGCATTGCCTACATCCGCATCACACAGTACGTTGACGCGGGAGGGATTCCCCGCACCGCCCAGTCAGAGGAGACTCGCATCTGGCACCGCCGGGATGGCAAATGGCAAATCGTCCACTTCCACAGATCTGGCGCACCCTCTGTCCTACCGCAGTAAGCCCTGTGAGAAACCAGCACTGGGGGCTTGGTGGGGCCAGGAGCCATGCTCCACGGGGTGAGGGAGAGGATGGCGCGGGCGCTTTGCGGCAGCAAGGATGCAAAAGGGGTGGGGTCCTCCCCTGATCTCTGTGGTGAAAGGGAAACAGCGATTGCCATGGGAGGGTGGTGGCCAGAGGGAGTGGGGAGAGGATGGCCCATCAAAGGGACAGCAAAAATGAAAAATTTCTGTGCCCAATTTGTGTTTTCCAGCTGAAGTGCGGGCCTGCCTATATCAGGTTTGTCACTGAGTCACTACCAAGGGGAGATCCCCTCCAACTCTTCACCTGTGGGACTTTGGCTGTTGGCTCTGCTGCTTGGTTCCTGCTGGAATTCCTCTCGCTTCTCTCAACGAACACGCAATGGCCCCGCTGACATGACACACATTGAATCGACATCCCCATCCCATCCTTCACAGGCAACCCCACTGGGGCCTTCATGCTGGGCCCCCTTTCTCTGCATGAAAGAAGAGAAGAGAAACTGTAAACAAAAAAAACCCCAACCATTTGGCCAGCAAGAAGAATCATGCCTGGGGTAAAGGCCTCCACCCACCACTGCATGGCTCCTGAACATCCTCACAACTCAGCACGTCTCATGAAATGGGACAGGACTTGCCATCTATCTCCCTCACCTCCTTTGAGAGCCTCAGAGGCCCCCCAAGGAAGAAAAGCGCATGGAGGCGGTTTTGAGCCACTCCATGCTGGTCGGGGCTTGGGTGACCTTCTCTTGGCATCAGTGGATTTTTGTCTCGCTGTTACCACAGTCCCATACCTGATGCCATGGCTCCCACCTGCTCCAGTCTTGGACTCTCCCCAATCCGAGTTCTCACTTCTTGGCAGCCTCAACTGAGGAATCTCAATTTAAACCATGTGCAAATTTCAGCTTCCAGGCACCTCTGAGTGAGGAGGGCTTTATTTGGATGGGTGAGTAAAGGCTATCTTTTATTTTTCCTTCCCAGGAGTGTAAGGCTGGCTCCTTCCCAGGAGCATGAGCAGGTTTGTGCCCTAGTGCTGGGGAGCTGTCATGCAGATAGACAGCATGCTGTCTGAGCAGGGATGCTTTCCCTCCTTCCTCCCTTCTTCCTCAAGAGCAGGGCCTGGAGAAGCTGGGAAGAAGAGAGGAAGAGTATGCAACAGCTTCCCAGTGCTGCATCGGCCCAGCAAAGGAACCAGTGGCTGCGGGAAAGGAGAGCTCAGCTCTCCGAGAGGTAGCCAGGCGTCGCCACAAGAACAGGCTTGGCGTGGTAGCAGGCTCTCCTCCGCATACACCGCTCCCTGCACCCTTCTCCCCACCTAGCATCCTTTACCTGCAGCTGACTTGGCTCCCAGCTCTCACCCTCACTGAACGCCAGCCTCTGCCCCTCGCATGCAGCACCTGGACCTTCTCCCAGTGCCCCAAACCCAAGCACCACGGCCTTCACCATAGTGTTGTAAATGCTGGTGCTAAGGCAGCCGAGCTGGCCACCCATTTGAGATACAAAACGTCATTGCCCACGCAACACCTTCCAGCAAAGATGAGGAATGCAAGCTTTAGTAATAAAACTCTGCAGAATCTGATCATGCTTCGAAGAAACAAACAAGCCTTTAGCTATCTCTTCTACTTTGAGCGCATGCCTTTTTATAGGAAAAAGAAAACAACCTACTGTGTATTTCGTAACTTGATTTTGAGTATTTGCTGACATGGATCTTTATGTAATAACTAGAAACATTCAACTGTTTGGGGCAGGGGGGTGGGCAGTTTTGGGGGGGTTGCTGTTTTTCGTTTCGTTTGCCTTTGGAGTGGGGTTGTAACGAAGTGCCGTTCCTAATGGGGCCCCACGGCTGAGCGGGGGAGCCACGTCGAGCTGAGTCTCCCACCCTGTGCCCTGTGCGTGGCCGTGGCTGCAGCAAGGCCACCGCATCTTGTCCCGGTCGCCCTGGCTGGGCAAAGGTGGCAGCCTCCCGGGCACGGCCTTGTCCCCAGGGGTCCTTCCCAGGCCCACATGGATTTTCCTGAGTGGCAAACCCAGGCAGCGGTTCTTCAGGAGCCACCAGCATGTGGTTTTCAGGATAGAAGACAGGGCTGGAATGGGGAATTATCACCTCTTTGCCTTCAGGTAGAGGTCCAAGAGGCGTGAGGGTGGTTATTTTTCTGGTAATCCTTCCGTTTCTTGTACTCTTTTTTTCCAACTGGAATTTCTTTGCTTGTTGATGTGAGACTACTGCAGTGCACTGCTGCCACTGGGGGACTTTCTAACTGCACTCTCTTCATCTGCATGGCGTTTAACTTTCTAGATGGTGCGTGTGTTGAAAAACAAAGAAATGAACAAAAAAACACTTGTTTTGGACATAAAGGAAAAAAAGGAAATTTTTCTCCATGTAAATTCTGACCGTGTGTTTTGCCTTTTCTGTGGTTTTGAATGCTTTGCTCTGTCTAGGCAGGGACAGCTGCCTCACAAAACACAGCCGCATTCTTGCAGACTGCAAAAATATTTTCCTGCTGGATTGAAGGGAAGAAATCCAAACTGTCGGGGGCATTAACAGGCTCAGAGTTGTTCAGCGTGTCCCACTGTGCTGAGGACAGGGGTGATCATTGCTGGGGATGTATGTAGCAGATGCCCCTTTGGGGGAAAATTGCACAGGTTCTCCATGGGCAGAAATGAGTGTCCCCGAGACCTTGGCAGACCTGTGCTCATTGACAGTGAAGCTACACTGGCTTGCAAGGGTTGGCCCCAAAGCTTTCCTTAAGCAGGGAAAGCCATGCAGGGAGAGGATTAGCTTTTAAGGTAGTTTGGGTGTTTTTATGAATCTCTTTCTTCCTGTAGTCACAGTCATAGTGCTGAAATGTTTTCATTTTTCTTAAAGGAAGGATTCAGCTCTTATATAGTTCACTCTCCTCCTTTCCCAAGTTGTCTGTGAAGCCAGCCATGGCAATTGTCTCTTTCACTTTTTGATGCCCAGGCTGTCCAGGTATCAGAAATATTTTGGGTGATCAGTGGGGAGACAGAGGAGGAAGGAGGTGACTGCGCCACTGTAGCCAGTACTCTTTCTTCGTGCTCAGGGCATGCTTTGAGTTGGGCTGCAGGGCAGATCTGTTTCAGAGCTGCTGATAGCTGTGTGCTCAGACGGGCCGTGAGGGTGAAGCTGCTTCAACAACTACAGCTGGAGAGAGGTTGGCCTGAGAAGTGACAGGGGTGACAGGGATCATGGATGAAATTCTGGGGCAGATCTAGTCTCCTTTCCCTGAGAGCCCTCTTCAGGCAATCACTGCTAGGGGAACATCTTGATTTCCAAAGTGGCTTTGAGCTTCTTGGAAACCACCTTCTTGGAGGTGATATCTCCTCCTTGAGGCTTCCCTATGGTCATCTCTCCAGGGACAGGTTCCTCTGGAGGCAGCTGGATGTCCTTGCAATACCCAAGATGTTCCAGATCAGTTCAAAGGGAAGCAGTCTGAGGTTTCAACTCTTTTAGTCTTCCAGTCAAGGTGAAGCCTGACCAAGGAAGACCTGACTTCCCACCACCTGCCCATGCTGGCAGTATTAAGCACCTGCACTTTAGGGGTCTGTTCTGCCTGGTTTCTCTCCCTACCTCGCCCTGGTTCTCCAGAGCAGGTTTCCATATCCCCAGAGCATCTCCGAGCAAGCACTGAATAAACCACCATCCTTTCCTTTAGTAGCTGTGGTGAACAGCTTCTCTCTGTCTTCCTCTGTGCTCCCCGATTTCTTCTAAACTTGCAGGAAAACTTAAAAAAAAAAAAAAAACCCAGCCATCACAGCCCTTCTTTGGCTGGCAGAGGCAAAGAACGCTGTGGTTGCATCCATACTCGTAAGCTAGGCAGTGTCTACTGCCATTGCCCCAACAATCTCAGCAAGGCTCTGGAGATGACAAGGTCCAGGGGTTGTTCCCAATAAGCAATATGGACGAGGCCACCTTGTTGGGAGGGAGTTTCTACCATGGACCTCCTGTCCCTATCGGCCTCAAGGCCAGAGATTATGCTGTGGCACTTTTAATTTCCTAGTAGAGACGTAGCCTGACTCTCACCTGGTTGCCTGGCCAACCAGGTCAAAAAAAACCTCAGACGTCCTCCAAATTAATCTTTTCTTCCATTTCTTGCAGACCACAAGAAAGAGCTGAGTCCCAGCACTTGCTGCAGTGGTCTCAGGTTCCCAGCTCCAGACATGGGTTGGGAGTTGCCCGTTTTCCCTTCCCAGCTAGCAGGGCCCAGGTCCTGCCTGCAACATCATCATTTCTCAGGTCTTGCTGGTGCGTCCCCTCTGGAAGAAGAACAGGCTGCTCTGGGTCCTTCTCCACCTGTTGCTGGAGGAAGCGAATGCTCTGCTCCTAACTCCGGCCAGGGCAGCCCTTCTTCGCTGAAGGGAAATGCCCCATCTGCCAGGTGCCAAACTCCCACTTGACCCCAAACTTGCTTCCCCTCCCTTCATCCTCAGTGAATTTTCACCCCCAGAGAGACACAGTAGTGGGAGCCAGCAGCAGCAGAGTTGCCCATGGGCAGCCCTGCCTAGCTCTGCAGCAGCTCAGGGCAGCTTGGCTCTCCCAGCACCACCAGCACTGATGTAGAGCAGGCTGCGGCAGGATTGCAGTGGAAGACCAGCAAGCCATCTTGCTGTATTTGAGAGGGCATCCTAGCATGTGCCTGATGGAGTGCTGTGGACCAAGATGTGTTTCCCTGCAAAAGATCCAGTGACCCTCTCCTCTGATCATCCCGGGAAGTTGGTCGACCCTTCTTCTCTGCCATGGGACGCATCTCATGGCATACAGAGCTCTTTGATGTAACCACCATTAAATGGTGGGCTTATTTTGGTAGCCAGACCCTGTTCTCCATCCTTAGGGATCCCTTGGAGGTAAGTACTAGTGGAAGGGGGGGGGGCTGGGAGTCCTTCCACTAGAAGGATAGACCTCTCACCATCACCTATTTCCAAAATATCCCTGAGCAGGTCCCAGCCCATGAGTACTGGACAGGGCAAACCCACACTTCACCAGGTTGTGAGCACATCAGAGGAGAGGTGGGTGGCCCTGAGACTGGTGAGCCCCCAAGGGCCACCCTGCAGCTTCCCTCCCTTAGGCTGAAGTCCCTCCTTGCCCATGGGTCCTTCCCTGTTGCAAAGCTTCCACCCCATTGCTGACTGTGATGCCAGGGAATGGGAGAGGGGATGATGGAGTATACGGGGAGTATATGGAGTGGCTCCTTCTGTCTTTGGGTTGTTGTTCCTTTTTTCTAACCGTTGCACAATTTTAGGGCTTTTGTAACATTTTTTGGATAAGCAGGGAAAATATGTTAACAGTGGTTTAAGAAAAAAAGAGGAGATCTCGCTCTCTATATTATATATATATAAAATATATATACATACAAGAAGTCTCTATGGAAATATTTATTTAAGATGATTGCAAAAAATATATTATAATTGAGACTATACCAAGCTTTGTCACATAACAAAAATCAGACTTTGGGGAGGGGAAAGCTGCCCATCTCCTTGTGTCTGTACCTCCGTACGGTTGCAGCTGAAGCCTTTCTCTCTCTTTTGTAAGTGCACTCGAACTGTCGAGCGATGTGACCGTGTTGGATTCATTGCGGGCTTTGGTGGGGGGGAGGATTTTGTTTCTTTTTTCTTTGTTTTTAGAACCTGTGGCTGTGAACGGAATGATCACTGCTCCGATCCAACGCTATATTTGGGGAGGGCGGCGGGGGGACTGGGTGCGGGGTGGGTGCGGGAGGGAGGGAGATTGTCAGTTTTATTCTTGGTGTTCAAGTGCAATAAATAGCTACAAACTTCTGAGCATGGAAACGGGTGATTCTCCATCACTGCCGTGACTCAGGATGTCTGCCGCTGCCTTGCCTCTCCCGTCGCGACGGTCCTGTCTTTGAGAGCGCCCAGGCTCGGGTCGCGCCTCGGGCAGCAGCAGGAGGTAGCAGAGCCTCTTTCCTCCCCGAGGTAGGGGTGCTGGGGGTGCAGATGCGCCAGGTGCAGGCTCTGGTCAGGGGCACCCTGAGCTCCTCCTGGCCTGCCTTGCAATGGTGCAGCAGGCCCACGAGATGTCAGCAAAAGACCGTTCCCATGGGCGCTTGCTTCCCTTTTCCCAGGCCTGTTCAGAGCAGAAGCGCTGGGCAGAGCTGGACTTCTGCATGCCCCAGGCATATCAGGGACCTAGCCCAGGGCCACCTCTCCTCACGGAGTCCCATGGCCATCCCGCCAGCTCTGGCTATGCGGAAAAGCCTTGCTAAAACCTGGGAGAAAGCCCTGCACACTCAGGTAGAAGGAACCAAACTGGCATGTGTGACAGGGATGCGGGGAGGCCAGCATCGAAGCCTGGGCCCCGTTCCAGGTGCAGGGTACAAATGCATGAGCCAGTGCCCGGGAGCCGGGCATCCTGCCCAGCCCCGCTGCCCTTCAACCCACCCCATATCGCTCCATGCCCGGCCACACATGAACTGGGGGATATACCATTTGCAAATGCCCCCATTACCTTTTTCCCTTAGTCTTCCCTGCTTCAGCCTTGCTCCCTGCTGTATCCTCGGCCCCAGCCGCGATCTCTGCCCTGCCCTTCCCATTGCTCTGCAGCACCTCTCCCATTTATCATAGCTACCAAGGGAGACCCCAGCAGATAGGATCCCGGGATTACAAGGGGAATTTAGGGAATGTGGCCAGGACCCCATGTGGGCAGGAAGCAAGATCAGATTCGTGTGGAGGCCAGAGCAGCCGGGCTGCAAAGCCGAGGGTGGCGCATGGGCCGGCTGCGTGCTCAGCTTGCAAAAGCAACTTGGGCCTTAAGCCACGCGAATCCAGCATTCAGCAAGTGTTTCCTAGCCTTGCCTGAGCCAAAAGCCTTGCTCAGATCAAGGCATCTCCACCTCCTTACCCCGCGATGCCTGACCTGGCCGCCTGCTACGTCACACTGGGCGGACCCTTGTGCGTGCCTCCCCGGGGCAGGCTCCCCACGGCGGCGGCTGGGCAACACCACGACCTCCTGGGGCCTCCTGCTCAGCAAATAGTGTCAAGGTTAGAGCGAGGGATTCATTGGGGCCATAAATGTTTATGGCTGGCCCTCCCCAATCCCCAGCCGCTGCAGCCTGAACTTTCCATCAGCGACACTTTTATGGCCAATTTCTAATGATTAACTCAGGGGCTAGCGGCTGAAGTTGCTTTCCAGCCCAGGGGCTCTACTGGAGCCTAGGGGGCCAGGGAAGATGGGGCCGGGGCAGGGGACCTCTGGGAGACCCACCAGCCCTGCTGGCTCTGGCCACGGTGGGGTTCAGGGCTGATGGCGACGAGGACATAGAAAGCAATCGATGGTCACGTGGCGAGGAGGACAGAAGCAGACACGGATGAGAGCAGAACTGGAGCCGCGCTCGGCATCGCCAGGGCATGGGGAGGCTGTGCAGGAGGGATGCGGACATGTGGGAGCTGGTCCCCATGCTCTCAGTGGGGTAAAGGGAATAATTTAAATCCCCTGAGGAAGAAAACAGGCCAGAGATGGAGAGAGCTGGGTGTCCCTCCAGTGCCTGCATCTGAGCGCTCCCGGCTGGCTGGACCCTGGCCGGTAGGATAGAGGGAGGCCCAGGCCTGGAGTGCTGCAGGCAGCCCCCAGCCTTCCCTCCGTGACAGAGAGATGCCAGAAAAGCCTCTTGTGCCAGGGCTGCCCGGCACATGGCATTTATACTCCGGGGGGGTGCCTGCCTGCCCTGCTCCCCTGGATGCCAGGATGCATAATCCAGGCATAAACCCTGATTTTGATCTTTTACCTGGTTTTTGGCTCTTACCGGACCAGGATAGAGCATTGCAGGATGAAGCTCTGGGGGTCTGCACCCCCCCCCCCCCCCCCCCCCCCCCCATCCACAGAAGCCCCTCTCGATGTGCCTTTCTCGTGCTGTGTCCAAGCTCCTCTCACCAAGCAGCAGACTCCGGGGCCCTGGACCCCAGGGTGGGGGAGGCAACTTTTATATGTAGAGGACCCCACAGATAACCCACACAGAGCCACACGCTGCTTTTTAATGGATAATTGACAATGCATGGGGGGAAGGGTGCACACAATACCAGGGGTGATGGAGACTCGTGGCTGCCGGACTAAATAGCCCTGGCCAGGACATTCCCGGCACCCTCCAGGCAAGCAGCATCCGCAGGAGGTGGGCTCAGACACATGGATATGGGGCAGCGCAGGCAGCACTGCGCGGCAGAGTCACGGCCTCCCCGTGCCACAGGGCCTGGGCTGAGCTGTCCCAAAATCCTCCACAGGCATGGAACCCAGCCCTTTGCCTTTCCCTTGGAGGGGAGAGCAGGGACCAGCTCTGCCAGCAAAGGGAGCTCCACCAGCTCCCATGTGCACCAGAGCAGGGCCCCGAGCTACGATAGCCCTTGTCCCTGCTGGGGGGAGATGGACACAGGTCCTCGTTTGGCACTGGGTCAGAGCTGAGACTTGACCACCTGCATGCACCCAGCTTCTTCCCCTCCTTCCAGCATGCCCTGGCCCTGCAAAGCATCATGAGGATGAGCTGCCCCGACCTGCCAAGATCTCAGGGATACCTACACACTTTAAAAGACCTGAACTGGTTTGTTCATAAAGCATTATTTTTCTTCTTCCCCTTTTTTTTTCATGACTGCTCATTTACTAAGTCAGATTTAATTGCCGGGACACTGACCTGCCCTTGTTTTGCTGGAGCACCTCAAAAAGGTGTGTGCCCTGACACACGCCTTTCTCGGGGCACAGATGATGTTAACATAGTCGTTTCTCAGACATCTTTGTGGATTCTTGGAGTTAAATATGCATTAGCAGAGAACAGACAGATGCTGAGGGCCTCATCCTCCCTGCCTCGCGCAACCCCAAGCATCCCTGCAAACGGAGGGCAGTGTGAGGCCCTCTCCCACCTGCTTGCAGTGTGTGGGCTGAGGCTGAGGGTGGGAAGGGGACAATCGGGCACTTGCACCAGACACTGCCACACGAACGTACAGCTTCATCACACAGCTTGCCACACTGAACAGACACACCTCAAGGACAGCGGACCCGGCAGCAGCCCTTTCCTGGTGAGGCCAGGGTGGCGGCGAGGAGGCCGGCAGGGTCGGCAGCTCGCGACTGCCCCCTGCATGGCTCCCAGGCCAGCCTCAAGTGCCCAAGTGCGACCTGTGCAAGTTTTGGGGTGATCTCCCCAGCCTGTGGGGTGCCGGAGCCCCTCACATCATGGACTCCTCCTCCTCGTCCTCCTCCATCTCCCGGTCTACCTCGATGGCCGTGTTCTCGTAGCTGGTGATGCCTCCGTATTTCCGCATGTGGACCATCAGCGGCTTGGGGGACTGACTGCCAGCCAGAGTTGCCACATACATGCCGGTCCTGTTCTCCTCCAGCGACGGCCCCCAGTCCACGGCAGGCCGGCCAGCTTGCTGGAACCGCTGCAAGAGGGCGGAAGTGGAGGGAGCCAGGGCTCATTCTGTCACACTGGTCCCTGCTCAGCTCCTCAGCCCTCTCCCTGACCCAGCCACTCCCAACCCCTTTGGAAGCAGCTCTACTCTGCTAGCTAGTGGGGATTGGAAGAGCCCCCCAGAGAGGATGGGATGAGGCCAAAAGCCTAGGAAGGCAGCTCCATGTAAATGCCTGGGAGGTGTTATGGTGTGGGGGTGCTGGTGGGGAGGGCTTGCAGCAGGTAGGAGCTACTGCAGGGCTGTGGCTCTTTGTGCAGGAAATACCTTTCCCAGGTATTTCCTTGGGTCATTGCATGGTCTTGGCCAAAACGTTGTCTGCTCTCTGCTAGCACCGTGGAGCACTTCGTCTCTAGGCACAGCCCTGACACAAGCAGGAGGGGTGCTGGACTCACACAGCTCTGTGCACAGACGGCACCGGTGGCACACGGCTGGAGCAGTCCGGCAAGGGGTTAGTGTAAGCCAAAGTGATGGCTGGCAATGCCACTGTGGACAGTGGTTGTCCCAGGCCAGGTGGCAGCTCAGGTGACCGCCTGGGAGGGCTGCTGCCTGGGGAGGGCACCAGCTCCCATGTCTCTGCTTTGAACAGCCTTGGGAGAGCAGCAAAGGACAGCTAGGGCTGCGAAGGCTGTAACCGGCCAGGAGGGCGCCAGCTCGCTGAGCCTGCTCCTGGGCAAACCCAGAGCCCCCACCAGGCTGAGGCAGGGCCTTGCCCAGTAACTGGACCTCGACCTCGCTGTTCCCCGGGGAGCTTGGAGTAGCTGCCTGCCCTGGCCACTGTCTGCTTTGCCTCAGGCAGCCCAAAGCCTTTTCCCCTTTCATCGGCTGCGAGTGAGGCTGCCAGGCAGAGCCCCTGCAGTGCCCTCCTTGCTCCGTCTTTGACCAAGCAGAACGCGTGCAAAGGCCCACAGGGTCGTACACATCCCACCGAGGCTGCAGGGGATAACACCCTTCCTGAAAGGGCAAGGTGTAGCTGGCTTGTTTTTGGGGAGGTGGCACCCATGCGGCTACCCATGGGAAGCAGTTTGACTTAGTGCCTGTCTGGCATAGATCGAGGCCCCATACACCTGGAAATGCCCTGGGACATGCTACCTTTCATAGCCCTTGGGACTAGGAGGGACTAGGATGCACAGATGCACACCTCCTGCAGAGGGGATGCAAGAATCGCTGGAGGATGCAGGTCTGGCGGTGGCTCATGATCCCCCGCCCCCAAACACACTTCTGGGGTGCTCCCCAGCAGCACTGGGCCACAGGGCCTCCTACCTCCCATAGCGTCCCTTCTTCTCGGAGCACGGCCACCACCATGCCAGCGGGAATCATCAGGCAGGAGAAGAGTCCCATGAGGATGCCCAAGACCTCAGCCCAGGTGGGGAATCGGTAGCTGCCGTACTCGGAGGGCTGGTACTTGATGATGTTGTAGACCAGCAGGGCCTGCAGGACGGGAGAACAGCAGCGTCACCCCAGACCCCTCCAAAGGCTTCACTCAAACAGGGCCTAGAACCCATAGAGACCTTCCAGGAGAACCAGAAAGATCCCCTGGGCCTGACAGAAATGAGCAGGAGATGCCAGGAGAGTGACTTGTCGCATGGGGAGGTCACCCCAGAGCTACTGGCACCACTATAGTGCCATCCAACCCTTCGAGCTAAGCAGTTACCATCATTGTTGCCGGGGACAGGACCATCCAGCAGGCTCTGAAGTAGGGCCCCGGTTTGAAGCCCAGCATCATGTGAATATCTCGGCAGAACCTCTTCATCCCTGGGGGAGGGAGAAGGACATGGACTCAGAAATTGTGATAAACCCAGCACAGCCAGGTAGCTATATGGGGCTGCCCTGCAGTGGCCCTGGCCAAGGATACGCTGTGGTTTGAATCCTCCTCCACAGCAAAGAAGCATCTCTCCTCCTGGACGGGAGAGGCAGGGTGGGGAGTTCCAGCCAGTGCTGTTTGAGGGACCAGGCTCAGTGCCCCAAACACCTCTACAGAAGTGAATTCAGCAATGGCCAAGGAGAAACACGAGCTTGGAGAGGAGGTGTTCACTGCTGCATGGCAAGGTTGCTAGCTTGCCCATCTGTCCCCCTAAACTTCTTCTTTCATCACCCTACTGCTCTTGGGCAGAGAGCATGCTCTTCCGCACGTCACTGGGGGGACAGACCTCCCCCCGCTTACCATAGACACGTGTCACCACAAGGCAGGTAGTGATCACCACCACCATGAGACCAAAGCCAGCGCTGTAATCATCCAGTAGGACCAGCCAGTACATCCCACCCTGCAGAGGCAAAACACAGCAGCCAGCTTCTTCGGGAGGGCTCAGAGCAGCACCCATAAACCTGCAGCCACATCCTCCTGCCTTTGGGGATGAGGCCCATCAGCCCTTCCTGGGCACTGGGGAAGATCGAGCACTGTCAGGGATCCTCCCTCCCCACATGGAGTTGGTGCAGGGACATGATAACACTGTGTCACTCCCCTTGGGCCCTCATGTCCCCAGGAAGCCCAGGCTCATCGGTCATCTCGCTCCAACCTTGTTAGCAGATGCAAATATGTGTCTGTGAACTTGGCGCCTGCTCTAAGCACTACATAAAGTGAGACCCTAGCGGGTCCCCACAAAGCATCTAGCCCCGCACCCTTACCTCCGTCGTGAGGATGAGCCCCATCAGGAAGAGAGTGATGCAGATGGCAGCTGAGAAAAAAGCTTTCTTTGGCCGCAGGTAGTAGGGAAATTCATCTGTCACGGCTGTGACGATGGTCTCCATGAAGGCAAACTGCGCGCAAGGGAAAAGAGGGTTCCCTGAGCCCCCCGGGCTGCCTGGGTACTGTGGCTGGGTTGGTGGGCTCTATCCTTACCTGGCTGTCCAGGCCCAAGGTTAACAGCATGAAGAAGAACAGGAAAGACCAGAATGGAGAAAGGGGAAGCATTGTCATGGCCTGGGGGTACACCACAAAAGCCAGGCCAGGACCTAGGGGAGGCAAAGGACAGCAGGGTGAGAAGGGGGTAACAGTGCCAGGCATGGAAGGGATGGAAGAGAGGAGAGCCCAGCGGAGTGGGCACCATGGCGACAAGCAACCTGGGCTCTTGCAAGATTGGCAGGAGGGGGGTCTAGCAGCAGGGCGGAGTGATGCAGGACAACCAGCCTGCTTCTCACTCGAGTCTTTGTTAAACATCGCTTAGTGTTGCTTAAGGTCTGCATGGTAGGAAAAGGTTTCCCTCCTTCCCTCCCCCCAGCCCACTGAGCATACAACTCCATCCTTCATGTTGACACCCTTGGCTGCCCTTCATTCCTGACCCTGAATTCTCTTTACAGCTAGCCCTCACGTTTTGCATGGGCCTGTTGGACACCTCTACAAAAGCCCCGGGGATGGCAAAGCGCGAGAGCTGCAGCTTCTCCGGGAAAGCAGCCCAGGAGGGAAACAAGGACAGGCTAGGATTTCCCACCATCCCTATCCCACTCCTTGCTCTAGCAGCTGACAGTGCTGTAGAGGATCGAAGGGCTCCCCATACCTCCCCTTCTCAGCTCTGGATGCTCCATGGTGCATCCAGGCAGAGATCGAAGGAGAAAGGTCTTCATTTGGCCTCACCTGCTTTTGCCACTTGGTTAACAGGGACCCCGAGCTCCTGGGACATGTACCCCAAAACAGAGAAGATGGCAAATCCAGCCAGGATGCTGGTGATGGCATTGCCTAGGGTCACTATGAAGGTGTCCCTGCAGAGAAGAAAGCAGATGCTCTGAACATGCCCTCTCCTTCTCACCCCACAGCAATGCAGACTGGCTTTGCCAGCCTGGGGAGCCGCAAGGTGACCCGGTGTGCTTTTCCTCCAGGGCCTCTCTTGATATACAGTTTCCATGGGGGAAAAAGGAGCATATATCTGATGACATGGGTCACTTTGTGGGGTTCCTCCAAAGCTTGCTTTCCCATTGGGAAAAGCATGTAAGAAGAATGGGACTGGATGAGGCCAGCGGTCCAACATCCAAACTTCTCCTTCCGCCAGGGGTCCACAACGCATGCTAAAGACAGGACAAACATGCATGACTGTAGCCTTGAACTCCACCCCCAGCCTTCAGCACCTGCAGCCTAGTACTTCTGAACCAGGTGCTGTCTTGATGTTTAAGAGATTTTTCTTCCACAGATCCCTCTAATCCCTCTCGAACCTGTGCAAGCTGTCTGGACCACAGCGTGATCGCATGCCGCATCAAGTGCAGCTGCTGGTTTTGAACCCACCAGCTGAGATTTTCATGGCTCTTCCCCCCACCCCAGCCGCAATTTTTTCAAGATAATGGCAGGCTCCCACCTGTAGATATTCTGATGGAAAGTGTTGTACGAGGCAAAAGTGAGGAGGCCCCCAAAGCCTACCCCAAGGGAGTAGAAAATCTGCAGGGCTGCCTCGATCCACACCTGGGGGAAGGAAATAGGTGTGAGGAGATCAGTGGCTTGGAAATCTTTCCCTGAGGAAGAGGGGATGGGAAAAGCTTCCCCAGATCCCCCTGGCATGCCTGTCTATGCGTCCCTCCAGTGGAGTGTTGCTCCAGCCCTCCGGGCACGCAAAGCCCATGGTCTTTGGGTCTGGGCTTCCCCCACAAAGCTCTCCAGCATTTTCCTACTCCAGCCTACAGGAACCACCCTAGAAACAAATTATTCAGGCCCCATATTTGCACTCCAGGCCTGACTTTACCCCTGACTCCTGCAACTTTCCTCTTGGCTCCAAAGGGCATATCTGGAGAAGAGAGTACATGAACCTCATGGCTCATTGCCGTATGCACTCCACAGACACAGCATCACCTTTGGAAAGAGGGTTTGAGCCAAAGGTGGACATTTTAGGGACTCCTCAACCAGACTGGCTGAAGATAGAAAATAAGCGAGTTTAGGTGCCAACCTCACCTGCCATGCAAGCTGGATGGTGTTTTCCAGAACCTGCTTTGCTTTTGTGGAGCTGCTTGTCTTTCTCCACCTCGATGCACAGCTCCTGCCTTTGAGCAATGTCTTTGCCTTTTCTTGCTACCACGCTCACCTTTCTGAATGGCTTAGCTGGCTAGTGGAAGGGCTAATGAGAGTGTTTTACAGCCAGCTCAGTGTGGCTTTAAGCACCCTTATAAAACAGGGAGGTGTCTGCCACTAACACAGCTGACGCAAGGAAACTCCCTGCTCTGCATGCTGTGATCGCTTGGGTAAAACACAGAGCAGCCACGTCCAACCCAGTCACACCCTGTCACCTCCCAGCCCATCACTAGGGCTGGGCCAATCTGCTTGTGTTTCAGGTGCCCACAGGAGACAGCGAGAACATCATCCCCCAAACGGAAAGCAGGAAACATAGGCACAGGGCTGTGCCACATGGGAAGGAGGTATACACAGGGTGTGGAGGTCATGCTATAATATGCAAATATATTTGGCAGTGGGAGCAACCAAAGAAGAGGGCTTTGGGTCAAGTGGGTGGCCAGAAAAGGCACCCAGCTATAGGAATGTAGCGTGCTCTCTCCTGTGCTGGAGAGGGCAGGACAAGATTCATTCTGGTGCTTAAACACATTACACAAAATCTCCACTGTGGTGTGAGCCACCAGACAGATCTCCCCACTCTGGGAGAGAAGCCGGGGACCCGAAAGAAGAACAGCTTCTGCTCACCTTGGAAGACAGCAAGTGATCAAACTGGGGTGTGAGGTAAAACCTGATGCCCTTCCAGGCCCCGTCCAGCGTCACGCCACGGATGAGCAGCATCACCAGGATGAGGTAAGGGAAGGTGGCAGTGAAATACACGACCTGCGGGAGAGTGGAGTCTGCTGGAGACCCAGGAGCGAGATCACAGTACGTTTTCTCCCTCATTACCCCACCCCCGCAACAGAAAGCTGCTTCGCTGGGCACCACCCTGCAGCAGCAGGGTCCTGGGGATGCAGTAAGGCTAGCGGCATCAACACTGCCTCTATCTGCATGTGTAAGTCATTCCCAAAGTGGCCTGTGTCCAGTAAATGTTGCTTATTGGCCTCACTGCTATTTCCTGGATGCACAGAGATTGCAGGCACTGGTAGGCATCAGTGCTGGTCGCCAGAGAAACCACTTTGATCTTCCAAGTGGATCCCCTTAAAGCAGAAAGGCAGTGACTGATGACTCCAGCCCTTACCTTGCCAGAGGATTTGACTCCCTTTAGGATGCACAGATACACGATAGTCCAAGAAAGGAGTAGGCAAAGACACAGGTTCCAGCGGATCCTCCCAGGACTGCCGATTCCAGAGCTCCCTTGGATGTGCAGAACGTACCGACTAGGGTGAAAGGAGAACTGCTAGTGAGCAGCCATGGTCACCCGCCCTTAGCACACCGGACAACCCACATCTTCCAGCCACCCTCTCTGAACTTAGCAATGCCTCTGCTGCAGAAAATAACCATGTCAAAAACCCCAGCAATGACATAGCAACAAGGAGCTGGCAGCTCTTTGCCAGAGGAAGAGGAGCACTTGGTGTGATTTCTTCATCATGCATTAACAGATCTGCAGGGGGAAACCTGGCTGATCGAGAGTAAACTCCCAGACACTCCAGGCACAGGATGCGTTTCAGTCTAACATATCTCCAGGCCAGCAAAGCACTGCTAGATCAAGTTTCCACCTCCTCCAAGATTCCAGCATAGCGGAACACCTCCATGTTCACCTGGCAACTAAGGGCCCCCCAGTCGTACTCATTCTTTGTTGAAAAGGCACTGCTGCAGCACGAGTCTCCTGGAGTGCAGCCGTGCAAAGGCAACGGGCACCCTCTGCCACACCCCTTGGCATTCGCCCTACCCAACACAGATCAGCCCACAGAAGAACAGGGAGCCAGCCATCCTGCAGATGTGATCCCAAGGGTGAAACTGAAATACCATGCACATCCACACAGCAAGAACCCCTCACTGCATCCATGCATGCCCATCACACTGTGAGACGCACAGCACAGCCCCGTCACCCCCAGTCCCATCCCAGCACAATCCGCAGGAGGACATCCACCCCAGGCCCACAGTCAGGCTGACCTCTTTACCTCCAGTACTCCTCGCTGGGGCTGACAGTGTTGGAGATGTTGACAGGGAAGGTGGCATTCCCCGCTTTGAGGACATGGTGGTCCAAGCACAGGTCAGTGTTCCACCAGTTGCCACAGTGCTGCCAGGGCAAGTCACTTGTTAGGGATGCAAAGAGGTAGAAGAGAACGTAAGCAATGATCATATTGTAGTAAATGGCCACCAGGGAGACGATGAGGATTGTGCCCATGCCAACACCTGGAGAAGGAGAGGGTAAAGGAGGAGTGAGCCATATCTCCAGAACAGAGCGCATCCAAAGGAAGGGTCAAACATTGGATTTCAGCACCCAGATAGTTAACCAGCTCCAAGTTAGAGATTCATCTGTGTGGACTGAAGCTTTTTATTGCAGTCACACCATCTGGACAGCCAGCCCCGCACATGCCATCACTGAATGCATAAGAATGGATTATCTACTGCATCAGCCAGATGATTTTACTCCAACTCAGTGCTGAGAGTAAACATATGTGATCTGACTTTCCTTTAATTCTTACTTTTGTCTATAACAGTCGTTGCTTATATTATATTATTATCCGTTACTTGTTATATTACATTGCTTATATATGCTATATTTTCTACACTGTACCTGGTTTAATGGTTTTCATACAGTTTCTAGAATTGATTATGACATCCAGAGCCTTTGAAGACTGGTAAATCTTACACATATCTTGCAGCTACTAAAATGGTCAACCCAGAAGTCCAGCCTGCTCCACCTTCCCCCAAGATTTAACCTTTGGTTCTAACAAGAGCTTTGAAGATCACCGGATGATGTAGTTGATCTATGTCCTCATCGAGTAGCTCCGCAGAGGATCTGGGTTTCAGTCACGTACCTTTAAAGAGTGGGCTTATCTTCCAGACGGCAAGCGGTCCCAGGCTGGAGAATTGCCCAAGCGACAGCTCCATGAAGAAGATGGGGATCCCACAGATGGCCAGCATGATGAAGTAAGGAACCAGGAAAGCTCCTGCAAGAAGCAACCCCCCCCCCAATTACAAATTAACTCAGATCAAATACCCAAAGCCCATCTATGACAGGAAATAAAGCTCATACAATATCTGAAGGCCTGAGAGATCTAGAACATCTCGCACCAAAACTTGGAAGGTAGCAACGGTCAGCAGCTCACTATAACACTGCTGAGGACTGGCACCGTCCTCTTATCTCCCAGGCTTGGCCCTGTGTGCTTTCCTATCCATCATGAGATGGAGTCCCACCAGGTCCTCAGTGCAGAGTTCGGTGTCCAGTTTAACAGCCCATATTTCAGCTCGTAGTCACTACTGCTAGCACATGCTCAGTAACCCAGAGGTGTACTCTGTGCTTGCAACCACCTCCTGCTCCCTTCTAGTAAGTGGCTAGAATCTTAATTTTGCAGCCCACGTGCAGAAACAGCCCCTCCATCACGTTAGCACAGCAGAAGGTGGTGACTCAACCGGAAGCATGCAGCCTTCTGCACCTTCACCAGCCCTGGCCTCTGTATCCCAAGTGTGTGCTGAGAGCGCCCAGGGCCAGGAGACTGTTGAGCTCCTGGAGGAGAATGTGTGTCTAATGCAGGAGGAAGGGGTTGTGATTCAATGTTGCTGTGCTTTCCCAAACACACAACTCCTTGAATCTTTTGCAAACACCCTGACATTCTCCAGTTACTATTGAGTGTGACAAACAATTGCTCTGGGAACTGACCAACAAACTGGTCACTTTGCTTCATCACTGTTAAGTTCATGCATTGTTAAAAGCTTATAGTCCTCCCTTGATATCTGAGAAGCACTCATGGGCTCCTGCTGAGTCCTGGAGGACACCAGGCCAAGGTGCTGTTGGGGGCCAAGGAGGATGCTCAGATATGAAGTTCCCAAGTGCAGGACACAAGCTGCAGAGTGGCTGAATGTCCAGTACGGGGCTGGGCACTGGGGATCTCCCAAAGGCCATGAGTTCAGAGATGGTCTGGGGAGTCCCTTCTACACATGATACTAAGCTCACAGGCTGGGGAC